AGTTAACTTAGACCTAGTCAGCATACAGCCTTTAATGCCTAGCTCTGAAGGTGGGACTTTATTTGGGACCTCTCTGATTCTACTATGTAAACATTATATTAAAGCCTTCTTAGTGAATTTGTATAACATATAGTTGGTTGTTTTTTTTTAATTTTTTAATGCTTTTATATATTTTTGAGAGAGAGCCCAACAGAGCGCAAGCAGGGGAGGGGCAGAGGGAGAGGGAGACACAGAATCCAAAGCAGGCTCCAGGCTCTGAGCTGTCTACTTAAGAATAGATTCAAGGGCGCCTGGGTGGCTCAGTTGGTGAAGCATCAGACTTCGGCTCAGGTCATCATGATCTCACAGCTTGTGAGTTTGAGCCCCTCATCGGGCTCTGTGCTGACAGCTCAGAGCCTGGAACCTGCTTTGGATTCTATGTATCTGTCTCTCTCTGCCCCTCCCCAGCCCTCTCTCTCAAAAATAAACATTTTATTTAAAAAAAAAAAAAAAATTCAACATTTGCTGTTCTTAGAGTGGAAAAATAATTTCATCTTACAAAATTTTTAAAAATTGCCTTTTTTGAAAGAGAACATTAATGGGGAATTCTAGTAAACGCTGTTTTGAAATGTGTTTTTTTTTATTTTTTTTTTTACATTTATTTATTTTTGATAGGCAGAGACAGAGCACAAGTGGGGGAAGGGCAGAGAGAGAAGGAGACACAGAATCCGAAGCAGGCTCCAGGCTCTGAGCTGTCAGCACAGAGCCTTACGCGGGGCCTGAACTCACAACTCATAAACCATGAGATCGTGACCTGAGCCGAAGTCGGACGTTCAACCAACTGAACCACCCAGGCGCCCCTGTTTTGAAATGTGTTTTATGTGAAGAAAAGTGTTTAGCAAATATACCGGCAACCATATGTTTTATAATGCTGTAATTTACCATAACCTGTAAAAAAGGAAACTGGAGAGAAGAAAAGTAGCTCATTAAAAGGAAAGATAGATTGGGGCGCCTGGGTGGTTCAGTTGGTTGAGCATCCAGCTCTTGGATTCTTGGTTTCAGCACAGCTCTTGATCTCGGGGTTTGTGCTGACAGTCTGGAGCCTACTTAGAATTCTCTCTGTCCCCTTCACTCTCCCCCACTCATGCTCACTCACTCTCCCTCAAAATAAATAAAAACTTAAAAAAAAACAAAACAAAACAAACAAACAAACAAAAGGAAAAACCAGGCTCTGTGCTGACAGCTCAGAGCGTGGAGCCTGCTTTGGATTCTGTTTCCTTCTCTCTCCTCCCCTCCCCTGCTCATGTTCTGTTTCTCTCTGTCTCTCAAAAATAAATAAATGTTAAAAAAAATTTTTTTTAAAAAGGGGCGCCCGGGTGGCTTATTCGGTTAAGCGTCCAACTTCAGCTCAGATCATGAACTCGCAGTTTGTGAGTTCGAGGCCCACATCAGGCTCTGTGCTGACAGCTCAGAGCCTGGAGCCTGCTTCGGATTCTGTGTCTCCCTCTCTCTCTGCTCCTCCCTTGCTCATGCTCTATCTCTCTGTCTCTCAAAAATAAATAAATGTTAAAAAAAAATTTTTTTTAAGAAAAAAGGAAAAATAGGTGAAATCTGAGGAGGACAGAAAAGTGTTTCTCTAACTTCTAAAGGAGTAAAAAATGGGCTTTATAAAACAAGACCTATCTAAGGTTAAATTTCTGCCTTGGCATACACTTTTTGACTTTTGCAAATTACTTGAATTAAGTTTTGGTTGTTTTTATTTGTAAAGTGAGGTTATATTACAAAACTTTGTGAATTCCTTCGAAGATTAAATAAGCAGAAATACCAGCTACTTAACTGTGCCCTGACATGTAATTTTATTGAGCCCTAAACATTGGCCTAAGCACTGTACAGGCTTTATCTTCACAATAACCCCCAATTTGTGGCTGAGGAAACTGCAACACAGAGATGTAAATGTATGACCCAGACCACACCAGTAAGCAGTAGCCACAGGATTTTAACCCAGGCATTCGGACCTCCAGAGCCCAGACTCCTAATCATTATATTATTTCTCATGTTCTTCTAATCCTTATTAAAACTGACAATACTTTTCTATAAAAATAGTGTTAGATATTATAATACTGTTACAAATTCATAGACTGTTAGAATCAATGGATCATTCACTGCCTTGGTACAATCTATTTTAATGTGCAATAATTTCTCATACAGCATCCTTTACAGATTATAATCTAGCTTCTGTATAAATGCCTCCAGAGACAAGGATTTTACTGCATTTTAATGGAACTATTTCATTGTTAAATAATTCAAAATGTAAAGAATTTCTTTATATTCTGTGATAAAATTTTTGCCCTCACTACCTTTACCCATTTGTTCTAATTCTCTTGCCCTAATTCTCTATAAGTGGACAGTTTCTTTCATAGACAGATATTTAACAAGAATCCTTTCTCTTTCTCATCCTAAACTAAATACCATCAACTATTTTACAGATAACACATTTCCACACTTTTCTCAACTGAGAGCCTTCTGTGAATGCATCCCAGTTCTTTTTTAAAATGTGCTTACTATAAATTAACTTTGTATGCCATATTTTATGTGGTTATGATTTCTTTCAAGAGTCGTTTATCATTTATGTTAAGAAAAGTTTAAAAAAACAAAGAAAACCTAATTATTCACGATCTGAATACACTTAACTGTTCAGTCATTACTAATGTGAATTTCATTTGTGGCCTCAACAGGAGATATGCTTATACTTCATACAGTGAGTATGACTAGCTAATGTTTATTGAATATCATGCACCATGCCCTTTTCTAAGCTCTGTACATGTAACTTATTCAATCATAATAATCCTGTGAGCTTGATGCTATTTTTACTTTTTTAACAGTAAGGATAGTGAGGCACAGAGCTGTTAAGTAACTTACCTTCTATGACCTGGTTTGTACTGAATCTCAGTTCCAAAACTAAGATTCAAACCTGGGTACTCTTAATTAGGCTGCTTCAACAAAATACCATAGATGGGGTGACTTAAAAAACAGACATTTGTTTTTCACAGTTCTCGAGGCTGGGAACACTGAGATCAAAGTGCCAGCAGGGGCAAAGTTCTAGTAATGGCCCTCTGCCTGGTTTGTAGGCAGCATCTTTTCTCTGCATCCTTACATGACAGAGAAAGAGCATCCTAATGATCTAATTACCTCCCAGAGGGCTCACCCCCAATACCATCACACTAGGGGTTCAACATATGCGTTTTTGGGGACACATAAATATTCTGTCCATAGCAATATGTTAAGTAGTTCTTTTGTGAGCCTAATCTGAAAAGTTGTCTATACTTAATATCAGTTTTTTATAAGAATATGTCCTCTACAAAATCACCTTTTGGAGCAGCTCATTTATAATGCAAGAAATTCAGTTACAGTAGAAACCTTTCTTGAATTTGAATCTCAGTTCAATAATTGTGCAACTTTGCCTATTTCCTGATGTGTAAAATGTGGATAATATCTGTCTCAAGTTATTTTAAATTTAAGGTTAATATGCGTACATATATGTATTTGTGTGTGTGTGTAATTATACTGTCATATATGTAAGTATGCACACACGAGAACCTAGCATAGTTGTTTACGATGTTTTTAAATGGCAAAAAAGCAGCTTAGCGCAGGAATTATTAAGGTAGACTTTGGTATGGAAGTAACTTACTAGATATATGACCTTGGGCCAGTTTCTTAACTACTCTGTACCCTAGTTTTTTTTGTTGTTTGTTTGTTTGTTTCTGAAATATGGGTGCAATGCTCATTACAGGGCTATTTATGAGGATGGATGAGTTTATAGAGCACTTACATCAGGACGTACACTTTGTAACATAGTATATAAATGATAAAATTGTATTTTATGTCGTTATTTAGCATAGCACCTGTATTTTTGCAAGTCAGTTAACAAATTATGTTGAAATGTTTTTAAACTAATGAATTTTTTGAAGGAATGTAAAGCCAAATATAAAACATACTCATTAAAATCAGTTGGTCACACCATCTTTTATTACAGAGGAGAGAAGGGAACCCTGAAGCACAAAGGTTAAGTAACTTGCAGTTTAGACAGTTTTCCAGTGGTTGCCAATACTTATAACTAAATCAGGTCTAGTACTCTCGTCTTCTAGCTTATTTTTTTTATGACAAGAGACCTAGGGCAGATAAAACACAAAATAATGAACTTCAACATGATGAATTTTAGTATTCATGATGTATTATTAGTATTTCAATGATAATGGATTATTCAAAATAATGAGAAGGTTCTAGCTGAAGTTTTTGTTTTTGTTTTAAAATAGAAGCACCACGTATGCTTTATGAGAAGCCATGGACTTGAATTTTTGGATATCCCCCTACCAGCAGTGTGGTATTAGTCAGTATCTTTGAAACATTTTCCGTTGTGACTGAACATCCTCCTAATAGAAAACAAAATGTGAAGTCCTTTATATATGTGCTTAGATTATTACTATAAAGAATGCTGGCATTGTATTTGAAGTATCCTTAGTTCTACTTAAAAAGAATTACTTTAGAGGAATTTGTATAATGTTTAAATGTGCTTTGCTCTCTAGTCAGGTAATGAGTAGAGATTTAGTTTAATTGTTGGATATTTTGAATAGATTAGTCAAATTAATTTAATTTAAACATAATAGTGTTGAGAAAACTTGGGGCGATGCTCTAATTCAGTTTCAGACTCAGTATATCCCTGGCAGATGATCCTGCAACTCTACTTGAACATTTTCTTGGCTTGTAGTCTTACATTATCTGTAAGTATAAAGAGATTCCATTTAGGTGACATTAAGCTCATCTCAAACCCTGTAATTCTTTATTCTTTGAAGATATTAACATTCATTTTTAAACAGTAATTTGTCCTAGTAATTTTGACATAACTATTTAATTTACAGATTGCCCAAGGACTCCAGATACCCCTAGCAGTGACCCTCGTTGTTCCACTAGCAATAATAGATTGATGGCTTTACAAAAACAATTGGATATAGAACTTAAAGTAAAACAAGGTGCAGAGAACATGATACAGATGTATTCAAATGGCTCTTCAAAGGTAAGTACTATAAATTATAAATGTAAACCTATACAGTCAATCCTCATGATTTGTAGGTTCCATATGTGTGAATTCACCCACCTGATAAAATTTATTTGTGACCCCAGCATCAGTACTTGCGGCACCTTCACAGTCATTCGTGAACATGCACAGAGGGATGAAAAATGTGATCGTCTGATGTGCATGCTCACAGCTGAGGTCAAACAAGGTGCTCGGCCTTCTTCTGTAAGCTCTTACCCTGTAAACAAGTATCCTTTTCACGGTCTGTGTAGTGCCACAGTTTTTGCATTTTTGTGCTTACTGTGCTTTTGCTGTTTAAACACTGTTTTTTGATTTCTAAGACCAATTTAGCCTCCAAATTTGAAAGTATTGACAATAAAATAGGTTGGAAACAAATAGTTTTTAAAATAATATTTTTAAAATTGCTTACTCCTACCAAAATCAATCAAGAAAAAATTTACTTATGTGAGTAAAGGACCATCCATATTTGCAACTTTTCTGTGAATCTGAAATTGTTCTAAGACAAAAAGTTTACTTTTAAAAATTTAGGCTCTAATGAGTTTTCTATCACTCTATCATGGGTTTTTAGGAAAGGACAAATGAAAAGACAGGACATTCTAGCAGTACTGATTGGACTAGACCTGTGAGTTCTTGGGGAATCTGGTATGGGCATGTAACTCCTCACTGAGAATCATTTTTATGGGGAACAGTTGTTACTAATGAGAATGTGTCCTTGTTCTGAGGTATAATGTAGAAGAGAAAATGTTGGGAACCACTGAACCAGATTATTGTAAAGGTTCTTTCCAATCTAAGGTTCTATAATTTTAGAATTTCTAAAAAGTCTTAGAAAGGTGGACTTATTATAAAATCTACATTGGTATTCTTAACTAAATTATTTTAAAGATCTTGCCTCTGAAAATTAATGTTTCTTTAATATTTATAGGTATTTCTTAAGTAATTTCAGAGTTAAAGTTATTTGTGTTTGGGGAGGTTTTTGTGTGTGTGTTTTCGTTTAAGAATTTAAAATTGGGGAGGAGCAGGGGTGGAATTTTTTACTTGGAGTTATGCACCCTACCTACCCACCCAAAGAAATCTGGGAAGATGCTGAAAAGAGAGAAATGTGCATATGTTAATAAGATTTTTTAAGCCTAGTAATTAAAATTAGATTATATGCCATATTTCAAATAAATTTTTATCTTTAGAGAAATACAGTTTTTTCTATTTGATATATAATACATGATAGCACGTTGTTTTTTCTGTGTTTTTATTTTTAGTATTGACCTTTAGTTTTGAGCATTTTTCATTTTTATCAATTTGGACTTTTTTGTTTTAAGGCAGTAGTGTTCTTGGAGTTGTGAGTGCATGGGTATATTTAAATTTATCCAGCTACCACCCTCTAGAATAAGATTTTTAAATATACAGTTGATGGATTAGATTGAGATGTTTATGAACCCTTTGAAGTTAAAGGAAAATGGAGTGTGTTTGAATGAATGGCTGAATGAGAAGGCCATAGGTTTCACTATTCTTTTTTTTTTTAATTTTTTTTTTTTCAACGTTTATTTATTTTTGGGACAGAGAGAGACAGAGCATGAACGGGGGAGGGGCAGAGAAAGAGGAAGACACAGAATCGGAAACAGGCTCCAGGCTCTGAGCCATCAGCCCAGAGCCTGACGCGGGGCTCGAACTCACGGACCGCGAGATCGTGACCTGGCTGAAGTCGGACGCTTAACCGACTGCGCCAGCCAGGCGCCCCAGGTTTCACTATTCTTAAAGTGGTCTGTAATTGCCCATTCCACCCCCCAGGTTTATGGACATATTAAAAGTAAAACAAATAGATAACTTATGATAAATACAGGTCCAAAATGAACAGAACTATGAGCATCCTGCTAAAACAAAAGATTATTTTCCAATAGCCTTTTATTTTTAATTAGGAGATTTGTTAATTAGGGAAGGGGTCAGGTGGAGGTCCAGAGCATGTAACAGCTTGTGTAGTCTCTGACGTAGACCTGCCAGTTATTTCTGTCTAGATTTGGTCTTAGCTGTTTTCCTTTCTCATCTTTAAACCTCTCAAAAGGTCAAAGTATATCTCTACGAGATTAGGGAAAATTGTAAATTGAAGTTATGTGGAATATTTAATTAATTTATTAAGGTCTTAACAGCTGGGCTCTGGAGTATGAATGTAATAAAATTATGCCTTATAATAGGTACTTAACAGGTAATATTCCACTTTCAAAAGCCCTACTGTCCAAAAAGGAGATATCACCTGTAAATAATTATATAATAGTGATTTGTCCAAGTTACTTTAGAAACAGTGGGTAAGGATCACTTAACTACCAGAAGAAATCATTAAAGTCTTAGCATGAGATTTTAAGGATGATTTGGAGTTTAAAAGGGAATTACTTTCTAGGGAAGATGATGGGTAAACCCAGCAGATAGAGTAAGGAACTGTTGAATAGCATGGCTTATTCTAAGAAATAGAAGTGCTTTTGTATGGCTGTAGCAGAAACTCTTAACCTATTTCTTTCCCAACATATCTGAGGTAGGTAGAATATTAGCTCTAGCAGTCATTTTCAGTGGAAGGCCATGCCCTCTTGGAAAAACAAATCTCAATCTCCAGAAAAGCACATTTATTTTGGGGAAAAGTCTTTCAAGTGATTCCAACAAGACTTTTTTTCCTTTCACTGGTAGAGCTTTAAGTGAGTGAGGTGTAGTGAGAGGTGTAGCATAATTGAAAGACAAACTAGATAATAAAGTACTTTGGACAAAATTAAGCAGTTGAGATTCTATCTTAAAAGATATATGGAGCTGCTGAAAGACTTCTAGACAGTAAATACATGATCAGATTTAAAGTTAAGAAAGTTCACATTCATCTTTCTCAGACTTGAAGAATTAATTAGAGAAGGGTCCAGTATATAGACAGCAAGTTTAAGTAGGCTTCTGTAGGGGTCCAGGTTAAACATGCTTCATTCCTCTTGTAACAGCAGTAAAAGCAAAGAAGACAGAATGAAGCTGTTTGGGTAGAATAAATATGTGGTGTCTGGCTATAAGGAAGAAAGCAGAGTCAAAGATGATTTTTAGATTGGTTATGTGGGCACATTGGTGGATGGTGGTGCCCTTCATAAGTATAGGTAATTCACAATGGGGAGCAAATTTAGGGACAGGGATAATGAATTTATTTTGGTGGTAAAAATCATCTTGAAGACTCTGGTTATTGAATTCTGTATGACAAAATTGCCACCCTAGTACACATTATAGCCAGAGTTGTCCTTTAAAAGCCAAGTCATGTATTTTCACACTCTTGGTTCAAAACCTTCCATTGGCTTTCTAGCATGCTTAGAACAAAATCCAGAGTCCTTATTGTGGCTCTGTGAGTTCATACATGATGTACCCTAGATACCTTCTGATCTTCTCTAAAACACTTTCATTCTCTCTCATTACAAGCTATATTGGCTTCTTTGCTATCTCTTGAACATACCAAGCACACTCTTACCTCAGAGGCCTTGCATTTACTGTGTCTCTACCTAGATTTCTCTTCTCCCAAATGCTTTCATCTCTCACTCCATTACAGTTTCTGGTAGATGCTAACACTTCAGTGAGCTCTTTACTACTATCCTATGTAAAATAGCAGTCCTTTGGGGGCACCTGGGTGGCTCAGTTGGTTAAGGTCAGACTTGATTTCGGCTCAGGTCATGATCTCACAGTTGTGAGATCAAGCCAAACATCAGACTCTGCACTGTGCGTGGAGCCTAAGATTCTCTCTCTTCCTTCTGCCTCTCTCTCTCTCTGTCTCTGTCTCTAAAAAAAAAAATATATATATATATATATATGCATATGTATGTATATATGGCAGCCTCCATCTCTCCTATCTCTTTCCCTGCTTTACTACTACCACAGTTTATATCTTTATAATCTTTATCAACATTAAAATGTAAATTTCATGACTCTAACTCCATTGGTTTTCAGAATAATATGAGGGCTTTGATAAGACATGTTGAAGAGATGTTTTCCACTGATGTTTTCAGATGGCAGATGAACTATTTATTAAAATATGGGGTTCTTTTTAACCTTTTAAAATGTATCCAGGTATTTTCAGACCTTTTTCTCATTTGAAAATACCTGACCATATATCCAGGCCTCACTCCCTTAAGTGTCCAGTCTTGATATAGTCCAGACTCATCTGTATTAACAGCCCATAAAACCTTTCTGGATCCCCTCAGTGAAAATTGATCCCATCTTCCTTTGAATTTACTTTGACTACTTTAAACATTCTGATACATACAATAATTATCTGTATCTGTTCAATTAAACTATAGGTTTTATAGGGTACCATCCTGATTAATCTTTGTATTTTCACTGGATGTAACATTTAGTACATGCAAAATAATCCATCAATATGTGATGGAAAAATAAGGATAATTATTGGTTTACTTATTTCTGAAATCTGTGTGATGGAGTGTATTTGTTATAATGTCCCACTATGACATGCAAAACAATATTTGTTTTATAAAATAAATTATATAATTTGAAAATATTACAAATTTTTTAACTTATGATTAAAATATACATTTGAAATATAACTATCAGACATTATAGAGTGCTAATTACTAATATAAACCATGTAACGTTCTTTTTAGTTCAAAATTAGTCAGATATTGGCATTTTCATATGATTCAACCTAACAAACATAAAAATCTTTCCAAAGCCTTAATTAACATAAAAGCCAGTATTTCTCTAATGCCTAAACCAATTCTTATACTTTGGACCTACCTTGTCTCTTGCCTTGAATATATATTAGGTGCTCAGTAAAAATCCATTGAATGCCTAGAAGCATAAAACTGACATTAAAAATTTATTGAATGCTGGAAAGCATAAGACTGACGTGTAGTAACTATAAATCGCCTGTGACAGGTAATATCCAGTGTCAGTTTTAAAAGCCTTCATCATACTTTGACATCTGTGCAGATCTTCCAAAAGTCTGGGAAAATACAGTTACTTTTAAAATGAACTAAAAATGCTCTTCTTTACATGTTGAATTGAAATAGTTAAAGTATTTCCAAAGAAGTAAATGACTTCTGTCTTCTCATATACTGATTAAATAATAAAAGGAGTAGCTCAATTGAAAAGCATAGCATTAAATAGTTTGTTAATAGTTATTCATTTATATTAGGATTTCATTGAAATAAGATAATCATTTTTATTGCTCTAAAAGGGGACATTTTTAATGCCAATCATGTGCTAGGCAATATGATTTTAGTTTTATCTAGTGCTTACAAAAGCTTCATATTTTAAAGAATGGTATCCCCATTTGTGTAATTTATGCAAGAAACCTAAATCTTGCAGAAGATAGGTTAACAAGCCCAGGTTTAAAAGTACAGTAAGATTTGGGGCCCAGTCTATCTGATTGCAAAACATATTTACCCCACTAAATTAGGAGCTTTGGAATACTAAGTTTTTTTCTTACTCCAGTAAGTTCTCAAAGGAATAGAAAAGCTGTTTCAAATCTTCAGTTTTTCTGATGTACTTAATAGTGGAAAGGAGGAGGAATTAAAATAAAAGTATTTTCATTTTAAATTTGAAGGGTGAATAGGTATATTCATAAAAGCATATAATTAGTCATAGCCAAGCAGCAAACTCAAGCAAGTATCTGTAATGGTAAAGCATAATTAACAAATGCAGTGTGTGTGTGTGCGTGTGTGTATGTGTGTACACTTCATGGTGTAAAATGATATTTAAGAGACTTAGTAGATTATTTGGCTCAACTCCTTGGTGTGAAATCTAAATATTTAATAAAGAATGAAATCTGACTAGAGGTCTTTCTTAAATTGACTGGCCTTAGGAGCAAGAAAGAAATGGAAGAAGAATTCATAAATTTGCAAATTCTTTTTCTCCCACTGTATATTAACCTTGTTTGGTGTTTAACATAAAATATGTTCACTTTCTTTTTTTTCCCTTATATAATAGCAATATTATCTTTCCCACCCCACATCTCCTTCCTCCTCTTTTATTCAGTGTCATAATAGACTCTGTGTGTGTGTTTCTATTGAAATGATGCTGCACATCTGATGCTTGTCTCTTAGCTTCTAGTCTTGAACTCTTCTAGAGAATATAGGTTGATTGTATCCTATTTTATTTGCAAATCAGTACTGACTGCCATAGTGATAAAACTAGAGATGCTTAAATAGTAAGCAACAATTGGCTTTTCTTATGAATAAGTACTTTCTAACTTGATGCATAGTTTTATCATTTTTTTGTGGATTGAAGCCTACTAGACTTTGACAATTAATATAACAATCTAAGCAGCAGATGGTTTTAATTTCTGTTACTTGTTGCATATGAAACTTTTGGGAAAAAATGCTGTATTAGTTTTCTATGGTTGCTGCAACAAATTATCATAAATTTAGTAGCTTAATACATATTTATTATTTTACAATTTTGTAATTGAAAAGTCTCAAACGGATGTCACTGAGCTAAAATCAAGGCATGGGCAGAACTGCATTCCCTTCTGAAGGATGGAGAAGAGAATTTGTTTCTTTGTTCTTTCTAGCATCTAGAGGCTGCCCACATTCCTTGGCTTATGGCCTTCTTCTCTTTGAAGCCAAAAACAGTGGGTCCATTTCTTCTCATATTACTCTGCCCTCCTCTTCTGCCTTTCTCTTCCACATTTAAGGAGACTTATAATTACTTTGGGCCCAACTGGAAATAATCTCTACATTTTAAGGTTGAATGATTAACAACCTTAATTCCATCTGCTATTTTAGTTTCCCTTTGCTATGTAACATTCGTAAGGTTCTGGGATTAGGACATGGACATCTTTGGGTGGATCATTATTTAGCAGACCACAATTCCTAAAATGGTAAGTTTTTTGTTACTCTCTGTCAGTAACAGTCATTGTTGTCAGAATTAAACTGGTATGACAGTAACATTATTTCACTTAATTCTGGACCTTTCTTGAAGTTTTAAGAGATAACAGAAGTTTATTCACTATAATTTCCTCCTTTGCTTTATTGAGAATGTCTTGGTTTTTTTTGACATTCAAGAGTGTCAAGGGACCTTTCTTATTATCTCACCAGTGTTGACAAATGCTATTTCCTGTTTCCTTTATCAGATTTAAGGGAACACAAATACCATCTATGATTAGTTACTTTAAAAATTTCCCTACATATATGAAGCTTCATAAGAATTTAACTGTAATGTTATGAGAGAGGAAGAGATTTTCTAAAATATTTAGGTTTAGTCACTGAGGTGTCTGTCACATGCAATGCTTCTGAGAATTATTGAACATAGTGTGAAAAAATCCTTTATATTTTGTGTAAAGCAGAGAAAATTACAAATGTGAATTTGGAATTCTTTAAAACAGTAATAAGATTTACTTGCTTTCTCACAAATTGTCTTAACTAAATGAAGTTGTTTTTCTCATTTATAGCTGTTTCGTTCGATGGCTTTTTAAAATAAATGTATCTACAAGTGTATCTATTATAGCGCTTACAGTGTGCTCTTTTAACTCTGTTTTTCACTTGCTGATAATCGTTTTATTTTAGAAGCTGTGAAAATGTTCTGTTTGTCTTTTCATATGCTTACCTTTTCAAACTTATTTTAATAGGATCGGAAACTCCATGGCACAGCTCAGCAGCTGCTCCAGGACAGCAAGACAAAAATAGAAGTGATACGAATGCAGATTCTTCAGGCAGTCCAGACCAATGAATTGGCTTTTGATAATGGTGATGGAATAGAGATAAATTGTCATGCTTATTATTATGGGCTTATAGTGCTTAATAAATATCATGTAGTAAAGAAGCAGTGGTTCAGAATTAAGGAGGAGGAGGCCTTATGTCTTTGAGTTTTGATGGCTAAAATGGAAGGCTCTTTATTTCAACATTGTATCTATTAAGTATTACTTCAGTGTTTTTTTACTTAACTAATTTTTCTCTTACATTGTAAGAATTCATTTCTTTTTCATGAGTTTTAATCACTGTATATGAAAATACCAAATAAATGGTTCAATTGCATTTTTTTTCTCCCCCCTCTAGCAAAACCTGTCATAAGTCCTCTCGAACTTCGGATGGAAGAATTAAGGCATCATTTTAGGATAGAATTTGCAGTAGCAGAAGGTGCAAAGAATGTAATGAAATTACTTGGCTCAGGAAAAGTAACAGACAGAAAAGCACTTTCAGAAGTAATTTTAAATAAATATTTTAACTTAATAAATACATTTTTCAGAGAATGTAATTATTTAAATGACAACAATTGTCTTTTCCCTGTTAAAGGCCCAAGCAAGATTTAATGAATCAAGTCAGAAGTTGGACCTTTTAAAGTATTCATTAGAGCAAAGATTAAATGAACTCCCCAAGAATCACCCCAAAAGCAGTATTATCATTGAGGAGCTTTCACTTGTTGCATCACCAACACTAAGTCCACGTCAAAGTATGATATCTACACAGAACCAATATAGTACACTGTCCAAACCAGCAGCACTAACAGGTAGGTTGCATACATCTCCTAATTGTTTTGGGTGCACTTTTTTTGTGTGTACGTCGGGTCCTGGTTTAATAAATGAATAAAAAGTATGAGTACTTTTAAGAAGTATGCACAGATGTTTAAAATACTGTGATAAGATACACATAACATAAACTTTATTATTTTAGCCATTTAAAAATATACAATTCAGAAGTATTTCCTATATTTATGGTGTTGCAAAACTATCACCATCATGTAGTTCCAGAACATTTTCATCATCCCAAAAGGAAACCCCGTACCCATTAAGTAGTTACTCCCCATTCCCACAGCTTCTGGCAGCCACTGTTGGTTTTCTGTCTCCGTAGATTTGTCTATTCTAGATATTTCCTATAAATGGAAGTATATAATTTTTGGCCTCTGTGTCTGGCTTCTTTCACTTAGTGTACTGTTCTCAAGGTTTGTCCTTGTAGAATATATCAGTACTTCATTCCTTTTTATGGTAAATAGTTCTCAATTATATGTGGGTATATACTAAGTTTATCCATTTATTAATTGATGGACATTTGGGTTGTTTCCACCTTATGACTATTGTGAATAGTGTTGTTATGAACATTTGTGTTCAGGTTTTTGTCTGAACACCTGTTTTCATTTATTTTGGGTGTATACCTAGGAATGTAAGTACCAGGTCATGTGGTAATTTTATGTTTATATTTTTGAGGCATGGTCACCTATTTGCCACAGTGGCTGCAGCATCATTTTATGTTCTTAAGAGCACACATCCTTACCCAACACTTGATATTTTCCTTTTCTTTTTTTTTTTTTTTTTTTTGATTATTGCCATTCTAGTAGGTCCATTACTGAAAGTCAGTTAGTGAAGTCTCAGTTATTTTTTGTGCCTATTTCTCCTTTTAATTATGTAAATGTTTGCTTCGTGTATTTTGGGGGCTCTGCTGTGAAGTGCACTTATGTTTATAATTTTTATATCTTCTTCATGGATTGACTCTTCTATCAAAATATAATGTCCTGTTTTATCTCCTGTAAGAATCTTGAATTGAAGGTCTATTTTGTCTGATATTAGTGTAGCTCCCTCAACTGTCTTTTCCTTATTACTATTTGCACTGAATATCTTTTTCTGCCCTTTCACTTTTTTTCCCTTTTCAGCTCTTTAAAAATGTGATTTCATCTTCTTGTTTCTATTTTCCTATTATAAAAAGCTGTAATTTTTTTATCAGTATATCTCTTCATGCAATGTTCTTTATTACCCATTGGCTTCAAATAACATGGAATTATACTCACTTTTCTTTTTTTTTTTTCTCTCTGCTCCTATGACTGGGTGCTTTTAATTTACCTGTCTTTAAGTTTGCCAGTTCTGCCTGCTCAAATCTATTGCAATTTTCTAGTAAATTTAAAAAATTTTAGTATTGTGCTTTCATTTGGTTCTTATTGATAAATTCTATGTCTTCATTAATATTCTCTATTTGTTAAAACACCATTCTCCTTTCTTTCGTTTGGTTTTGGTTTTGGTTTTGTTCTTGTTCTGTTTTGTAGGTCCTTGACAATATGTAAGACAGTTGATATGAAGTCCTTGTCTAATAGATCCAGTGTCTTGGCTTCATCAGTTTCTATTAATTTCTGCCTTTCTTGTCAATTAGCTGTACTCTTTTTTTTTTTTTTTAATTTATTTTTGAGAGAGACAGAGACAGAATGCAAGCAGGGGAAAGTAGAGAAAGTGAAGGGGAGACACAGAATCCAAAACAGGCTCCAGGCTCTGAGCTGTCAGCACAAGAGCTCCCATTGCGCGCGACTCGCAACTCACTGGGACATCGGTGAATCGAGCCTGAGCCAAAATTGGTTATAGCCGACTGAGCTACCCAGGCACCCCAGCCATACTCCTTATTTTCCAGGTTGCATCTTAATTTTTGATTGAAAACTGGATGTTGTGAATATTATAATGTGTAACTCTGGAAGACACTCCCTTTCTCTAGAATTTCTTTGTTTGTGTGGGATATAGTTTTTTAGGGGCTTTTATAAATGATTTTGTAAACACTGTAGTTGTTGTCATGTATGGTCACTGAAGTCTTTATTAAGACTAGTGGTCAGCTAGTATTTTAACAGACATTTCTTTTCATGCATGCAGGCAGAAAGAAAAAAAATTGCCTGTCTTTGTAGCTGGGCTCTGTGTTTGTGTGTTGGGGGCATACCCCCAACAGTCACCCAGGCATCTTACAACTCTGCCTTTGCTGGCACAAAACTTGAAGATCAGCCAGATGTGAGAACTTAGGACTTTCTCAGGCCTTTTCTGAGGATGCCTCCTTTTCTCTCTAGCCTTCTAGTTTCTCAGTGGAAATACTGCAAAGCCCTTATTCCCCAAAACATCCCACTCCCTATGTTCTCCTCCAAGACTCTTTGGGATATCTTGTTTGTCCCAATTGATATCTTTTGCCTCAGGTTGCAATGACTGGTTTATTTGCCTTTAAATGCCTTCCACTTAGCTATTTCTCTGCCCTGAGAGATTTCCTAGTAAGGCAAAAAACAATTTTTTTTAAGGCACACTTTTGTGTTAGTTCATCAGAGAGCCCTCAGTTCATTCAAAGCAGGCAACCACACTTCCTTGAGAATGAGGTCTTCTTTTCCAACTGCTGTCTTGAAAATTATCAATAAACCATGTGGGTAGAAGGAAGATGAGGCAAGGGTAAGTTAAAGTGCTACAGAGTCTCCTATTGAGTACTTACTGTGTTTTTGTTAAGTAAGCATTTGCTTGGTTGCAGTAAACCTTTGACTATCTTCCACATTTCTCATACACTTGATTCTAACAGTTTTTGCTAATTTTTGGTTGTTTTGTTTGTTTCCTGTGTTTCTGTGGAGAAATTGCTTTAGGACCTTGTTGCCCCACCGTTTTCTCTATCAGCTACAAAGGTTTTTATGGTCCATGTGATTATGACATTTTTGTTACATTGACTTCTCACCCTTGGAAATTCTTAAATTACCATATGAATGTGAATGTCAACAAGGGCTTTACTTTAATAATGTCATTGAGTATTTTGAAGATGTGAAAGTGTTCTTCAGAATTGCATAGCATGCTATCACATTCTGGTAGCTTTGGGTATCATTAATCAGTTTTATGTCAGACTTCTATATTAAAACTTGAAGGACAAATTTATAGTTAAACTGTGCTGTTGCCACTAATAGGATCAGTCTAAACCTACAGTTACCAAATTGAGTTTCTAAATCTGAGGTATCCTGGGATGCCAGAATGAATAAACAGAGTACAACAGGATATTTTAACTTTTTTGAGGGAAGCCCTCAAAGTAAAGTGTTACTTCACGTCCTACAGTCACCATTTAAATTACTAGCTCAAAGTAGTTCTAGTTTTAGCAGGAGATGGTGCTTCGAGTGAAGTCATAAATGTTGATGAAACAGGGTTTTCCTGCATTGCTGTGATACAATAAATACCATGTGAAAATCAACATGGAGTAGAAAAGAAGGTGGCGGTTTCCAGTGTAATTCCAGAGTTTGAGAAGTTGTACAGTGCTCAGTGTAAACATCCCATTAGGAAATAACTATGGTTATTTACGAATGAAATAAGATTACCTTTTCTTTCAAGTTATGTGTATTGTTTTTATAGTTATTAATTAATTGATTACAATATTCTATGAAACAGAACTGTTAGGTATATCTTTCAGACTAGGAGCACAGTGAAAAAATTGGTACACTAGGGTACCATGAAACAAGAAAGCTTGGGAATCTTTGGTCAGAATGCTCCATTTTATTTTAAATGTTTTAAATATTTATTAAAGTGTTTATCATTCTAGTCACATCTTCTGTAACTCCTATTATGAATTTTCTATCACAGTTAAACTGGTTTGTGCACAGTCCCTGTTTAATATCTGCCTTGTTATCCATCTTCTTACTGTATTTTTTAAAATCAAAACTGGCATATAGACCTGTGAAGAACAAAGACTTTGTTGTCTGCCTACATGTAATTCTAGCCCCTAGCACAGGATATTTATAGTTTCAGGAGAAACTTGGTAAAGATTATTTGACAATAAGGAAGGAACTGCACTTAAGCTTTTGCCATTGTATGACTCAGTGCTGAATGCATTAATAATATTTTAGAATTTTTGAATGATTCATTGATTAAAATATGGTTGTCAAATATTTGGAAATCAACAATATTTCTAGAAAAGTAATAAAGCCATGTTTTAGAAAACATCTGATACAGCTGGAATTTTTTTTCCCTTTCTATTCCTGTTGACTTCTCTCCCCAATTCTAACCTCTTCCATTCTCTTTTCCTGTTCTTCATTGCCTTACTGAACTTTATTCAAAGTGATGTAAATTGTCAGCATAAAGGGAAGTATCTTATAGTTCTTAAGACATTTTGGGTTTTTTTTTTTATTTTTTTTTATGTTTATTTTTGAGAGAGAGAGACAGAGTGCAAGCAGGCGAGGGGCAGAGAGAGAGGGAGACACAGAATCCGAATCAGGCTCCCCAGGCTCTGAGATGTCAGCACAGAGCCTGACGCGGGACTCAAACTCACGAACTGCGAGATCATGACCTGAGCCGAAGTCAGACACTTAGCCGACTGAGCCACCCAGACACCCCAAGACATTTTGGTTTTTAAAAATACTATTTTAAATTCCTACTGAACCTTTTAATGAATTCATGTTGAACCTTAAGCTAAAGACAGAGTAACTAGAAAGAGAAATACTATTGGTCTTAATAAAGGATTATACACAATGAAGAATTATATTGGATAAGTAGTAGGAACATTTACCCTCCTGAGTTTTTCACTACATGCTATTTGTGGTTTGTCTCATTTATATTCTGATTTCTTTTGTGGTTGTATGAATAAAAATTGAAATTTGCAAATTTGGTGCTACTTTGAAATAAGGTATAATTGAATTGTTGGTCCACATTTTGAGACTTTTACTTGTTTTTATGATAGAAGATACCTTCATTATTCAGTTGTACCAAGATGAAATACTGAATTAGTAAAATGGATATAAAATAGTTTTTTCAGAACATTAAAAACAAACAGTTACTTGTTCTAATGGAATTCATAGCTACTGCTTATGAATACAGACATTTACTTCTTGGATTGCTTGTTTTAAAAATTTCATATTGTGGGTTATAAAAGTAAAATATTTTAAAGTATTTCTAATATGGTTACACACAATTGCAACTGTGTCACCTCATAAAGGAAAGAAACTTCTAGATGGTTACTAAAGTTCTTAAATCCCTCCAGGTTTCTTTTTCCTAAATGAAAGCAGGTGCTGAGCATTGTCATCTCCTAATATATTGAAATTACTAAAATATTTAATAAGCTACCAGGGTTTGAAGTAGTGACCAGATGTTTTCAGTTTCCCCAGGATGACTTTTACAGCTAAACATTTACAATGGAAATGAGCTAAGTTTGCCAGTTTAACAACAAAAAAGGAAATAAAACACACAAACACAACAAGTTGTTTCTTTTGAATTAAAATTAAAATAATATCTATTTAATCTGTTTTAACACTTTATAGTTACAGAATATTTCCATAGCCTAACAAACATAAAAATTGAAGCTCCCCTCCAACTTTAGTAACTTTATTGAGACATAATTTATATACCATAGAATCCACACACTTGAAGAATACAGTTTTAGGGCACCTGGGTGGCTCAGTCGGTTAAGCATCCGACTTCAGCCCAGGTCATGATCTCACAGTTCGTGGGTTCGAGCCCCTCGTCGGGCTCTGTGCTTACAGCTCAGAGCCTGGAGTCTGCTTCTGATTCTGTGTCTCCTTCTCTCTCTGCTCCTCCCCCATTCATGCTCTCTGTCTCTCAAAAATAAATAAAAGTTAAAAAAAATTTTTTTTGTTAAGAATATAGTTTTAGAACTTTAAAAGAATGTTTTAATGTTTATTTTTGAGAGGGGCATAGGCAGAGTACGAGTGGGGGAGGGGCAGAGACAACTGAATGACCCAGGCGCCCCTAGTTTTAGGATTTTTAGGAAATGTATATAGTTGTGCCACCATCATCAACATCCAGTTTTATTTGAAGTGTATAACTTGAAGATTTTTGTCATAAATTTTGTTGTGAAGCCATCACAACAATCAAGATAATTAATATATCCATCATCCCAAAGGTGTCCTTGTGTGCCTCTGTGTAATCCCTCTTTCCTGCTCTTCTCATGCTCTCCTTACCCACATCTGACTCCAGGCAATCACTGACCTATTTCTGTCACTTGCTATTAGTTTACATTTTGTAGAATTTTCTATAGGTGGAATCATTCAGTATATACTGTTTTCTTTGGGAAGAGAAGGATTTCTGACCTTTTTCACTCTGAATAGCTATTTTAATATTCATCTATGTTATGTCTATCAGTAGTTCCTTTCTGTTATTAATAGTATTCAGTTGTATGGATAGTCCATAATTTGTTTATCCATTCACCTGCAACTGATATTTGAGTTGTTTCCACTTTGTATTTTTTCCAAATGTAGCTACTAATAACATCCTTATGCAGTTTTTGTGTAAATGTAGATTTCATTTGGGTAAATACTTAGGAATGATATGGCTGGATCATGGTAGTCTACTGAAAATGGATTCTTTACCCATTTTTAAATCTGAAAAGTCTTCATTTTTGAAAGATATTTTCAGTGGGTCTGGAATTCTAAGTTCACAGTTTATTTGCTTGTTCATTTTCTCAGTACATTAAAATTGTTGCTTATGTGTCTTGCTTTCATTGTTTCTTATGAGAAATCCACTGTGATCCTAATCTTTGTATGTAACGTATCTTTTTTTCTCTGGCTGTTTTTAATATTTTCTCTGTATTACTTGTTTCGAGATATTTTATTATCGTGTGCTTTCATGTGATTTACTTATTGCTCTTTTGCTTGGTGTTTTTGAAATTCTTGGATACTTACTGGGTTTATAGTTTTCATCAAATTTGGAAATTTTTCAGCCATTATTTTTTCAAATATATTTCTGTCCCAATTGTCTCTGCTCTTCATCAGGGACTTAGTTGTACACATATTGGGCCACTTGAAGTTAAACTTAGTTTATATATGCACTGTTTTTTTTATTTTGTTGTTGTTGTTGTTGTGTTTTTTACCCCTCAAGTCTTTCCTTTCTCTTATTTTTTTTTTTTTTTTACCATTTCTACTGCTTTAGCTTCAAGTTCACTAGCCTTTTCTTTTGCAATGTATAATCTGCCACTAATCTCATCCCAGTATATTTTTCCTAAAGTCTCTAACATGGTAATTTTATATCTGGGATTTTGTTTGGGGTCTTTTTGATTTCTTGCATGTCTCTATTCAAGTTTTTGAACAGATGGACTATAATTATGATCACTGCGTGAATGTGTTCATGTCAGTTTTGGATTGATTTTCATTTGATATCTTTTTTTCTTACTATGTTTCTTACTTTTCTGTTTATCTGTTTTCCTGGTATAATAGTCAGAATTTCAAGAATGACCCTTGGAACCCCTGTCCTGTGAATACGATGAGACATCATTCCTGTGATAATACTATGTTATATGGAAAAGGGGATTTTGCCTGTGTGACTAAGGTTATTAATCAGTTGGCTTTGAGTTAATATAAAGGGCAGTTATCTGGGCTGGTGTAATATGATCACATGAACCCCCTAAAAGCAGAGAATTTTCTCTGGCCAGTGGCAGAAGGGGAAGAATAATCTGAATCATGAAAAAGATTGTATGTGCCATTGCTGGCTTGAAGATAGAGGGGGCTAGCATGTAGTGAGGAATTCACATGGCCTTTAGAACTTGAAAACAACCCTTGGCCATCAGCTAGCAAGGAAATAGGGACCCCAATCCTATGTCTGCTAGAAACTGGAGGCTGCCAACAACCTGAATGATCTTGGAAGCAGATTCTTCAAATCTTCCAGATAAGAGCCCAGCCTGGCAGATATGAGGATTTCAGCCTTGTGAGATTTCTAACAGAGAGTACAGACAACTCACCCAGACTCTGACCTACAGAACTGTGAAATAATAAATGGGTGTTGTTCTAGGCCACTAAATTTGTGGTAATTGGTAATCCAGCAACAGAAAACAAATATGCCTGGTAGTCTCTGATTAGATTGCTAGACATTGTGAGTTTTAGCTTTTGGGTGCTGGATATTTTTGTATTCCTATAAATATTCTTGAGCTTTGTTCTAGGTCACAGTTAAGTTACGGGTATTGCTTTTAAGATTTGTTATACAGACCAGAACATCATTTAACGTAGGAGTAATTATTCTCTACTACTGGGGCAAGACTGAATTCTTGATTAGGGGAACCTTCTGCACATCTTAGTTCTGTCTCTGGACAGCTGTTGTCTCTCTTTTACTCTGCCTGTGAATTCTAGCCACCTTGATCAGTTCTGTGTCATACTCTCCGGTCCGTTTCCTTCACACAGGTAGTCCACTTGGTTGCACCTGAGTTTCCCCTCCCTGCACTATGTCCTAGGTATATTCCAGGCAGTAAACTCAAGCAGTCTTAGGGTTCATCTCATTTGTTTGCCATCTCTTGAGGATCAGTGTTCTTCATTTCCTGACCTCCAATGTCTTTAACACTTTTTTAACGTATTTTGTTTGTTTGTTTGTTTTTTTAAGAGTTGGGTATAAATCCAGGTCTTTTCACTTTCGAGTTCAGCTTTAATTATTTAAGTTCATTGGGACCAGGAAATATCCCTAAATGTTATATATAGGAGTACTTAAATAACTCCTAAAATGTTATTCTCTGTGCATTATCTAAAATTTTAATACTATAGCACCATTTCTAACTTCTAGTGTACTAAATCTAGCCCAAATGATGACAAACCGTATCTTTAGATAGCCTTAAAGTTACTCATTTTCATTTGAACACCTTCAGTATTTATTTGCCTAAGGAAATCAGAATTATGCTTAGATAATTATAGTCAATTATTTGACTCATTACACTATTAGAAAGTTAATATTATTTTACATCTCAAATAGAACAGGAAACCCATTTATTTATACAAAAAAACCCTGTAAAGTCTTTTTCTGTATTAACTACGTAACTACTAAACATGGCTAGCTGCTTTTCATGTAGTCAGATTTCCTTGTTTCTAATTTCTGTATGTTTATGTTGATATTTGGCTTTGTTTTCCTTCCCACATGGTCTGTCCACATAATTTTGTAATTCTTCCATGTAAGTATATAAATGAGTATTCAGACATAGAAGAAGTTTATGTAACTTCTTTTAGAACAAGTTTTTGGACAGCTATTGGAAGGTGCTGTTCTTTCCATAAAATTTCTTACAGTTTTATTAAGAATTTTCAATAGGTTTCTCTAATTAAAACAGGAAGGATGATTAGTTACCTCACAGATCCTCTGGGAGAAGAGATTTTGTTATTTTAGCAGATCTCTCCCCATCCTTTCTGAATAGTAACAAAGACATAGTTCTATATTATTAAAAATTGATGTTCTTATTTGATATTTGTTCATGCTGATAGGTACTTTGGAAGTTCGTCTCATGGGCTGTCAAGATATTCTAGAGAATGTCCCTGGACGGTCAAAAGCAACATCGGTTGCACTACCTGGTTGGAGTCCAAGTGAAACCAGATCATCTTTCATGAGCAGAACGAGTAAAAGTAAAAGTGGAAGTAGTCGAAATCTCCTAAAAACCGACGACTTGTCCAGTTCAGTAACCAAATTTTTTAAAAAATCCTATAACAAATTAAAGGGCCTGTACAAAGAACTTAATAATGCAGCTAGCAATGGGAAAGAGCCAAAGTTGAACAAAAAGCTTTATGTTCTGACTTCTATAATTTAACTTTAAAATATCGAAAGCTATACTGACAGGAAACAAAGGCAACCAAATTTATTGAAATTATGTTAGAAAACTGAATGACACGTGACATTAATTCTTTTGGAAGAATGAAATACTCAGGATCAATCTATGCCAAACTGAAAGTGTTCAGAGGCTCTGAGTCTTGTCACATCTTTATCTTTTAATGACATCGTGACACTTCTCAATCTTGATAACTAACCACAGGACCAAACGTGTTTACTAGTAGTGGCTCAGTTAGCAAACAAATGGGGGAATAGGTGGAAGTGGTAAGAGCAATATGCAATAGGTTTATGAAGCACTTTGCAGATGTTCTAAAATGTGATTATAAACTATGTTATAAAGGTAGCACTGGGGGAGGAAGGCCCGTGACAGTTAAACCTACTACAGGGTACAGAGGTGCATATGTCAGTGTTTTCCTTCATCTAGAAAGGGATTTTAGGGAAAGTGTGGAAACAAAAATTGTCTAAGGTGACAAACTCTACAAACAGAAGTGTAGAGGGAGAAAACTGAATGATTACTATTGATATACAAACATACAAAATAGATAGCATTTGATCTCTGTGTTTTTGTCAAACACAGAGGATAATTTGGGAGCATCTGGTGGAAGTATGTGTACATGTAAAAGTAGCCATTTAAGATTCAAAAGCTTCAGTATTAAGAAAAATCTTACTTTTAAAGGCTCATAAGACTTTTGTTCCTATTAAACAGTGATGCTTCTATTTTAAAGTTTTAAAATATTTAAGCAAGTTTATAAATTGTAATTACAGATGATGTCTGTGCAGTTTTGAAGCTAGATAATACTGTGGTTGGTCAGACGAGCTGGAAACCCATTTCCAATCAGTCATGGGACCAGAAGTTTACACTGGAACTGGACAGGGTAAGAGGAAAAACATTTTACTTAAATTTTCATTATATTTATAATTCATTTTGAATGTAAATTTTATGTCTTTGAAGACTTTGAAAAGTTTTATTTTTTTAATGCTTATTCATTTATCTTAGAGGGTGTGAGCGAGTGGGGAGGGGCAGAGAGACAGGGAGACGGAGAATCCCAGGCAAGCTCCGCAGCTATCGGTGCAGAGCCCAGTGTAGGGGCTCAGACTTACGAACTGTGAGATCATGACCTGAGCCAACAATCAAGAGTCGGACGCTTAACTGACTAGCTACCCAGGCACCCCTGGGAAGTTTTATTTTTAACGCAATAAAAGAAGAACCTAGGGGTTTTTTTTTTTTGATGTTTCTCATCTGGTGAGTTGTATAAAAGCCTGCATTAAGACAGAGGTGAACATCAGAATGCTGCAGTAGCTTTCGCTTCTGCAGTGATTTGAATGTACCTTTTGTATTAACATAAAAGACAACCAAGTGAGAGCTAGTATTGAAATATATTTATTTTAGTGATGTACTCTAAAAATGAAGGTGATTCTTCTGATTCACCGTTTGTAGGTTATACTACTAAAGCTGGATTTGAAATGAGCTAATGTGCTCAGTTACCCAGGCTTCCATGTGTCTCAGTGGCTTTCATGAATGACATGAATGGCCAGAATATGATACGTAGCTGTAGAATCCAGAGGTAAAGCTGGTCCACACTGGATTCAAATCCATGGTGGTGACTTTATTACTCAGATTCTAATCCATCCACTGGGGTGTGGGAAGAAAATAATACAACTTAATCCTAATCTTGTCTAAAAAATAAGAAAGATAGCAAACTTTTTATCATTTAGTATTTAGGCTGATGATACATGTCATTTTTAAAATTACATTTATTAGTGAAAGCAGATTTACAGTGCTCGATGATGTGAGGTGGTGGTTTTACTACTCTAGCCTCTACTTAAAAAATTTTTTTTCCAATTTATTTTTTTCTTTCCTCATGGCCAGCATCCTAATCACATCCTCATCACTGCTTTTCCTGCTTCAAAAAATGTTTCATGTGCTTAAACTTTATGTATACCAGATTTCTTAGCTTTAATACTACCTACCTCACTGAGATGTGTGAAGATTAAATCCATGTAAAAATCATTGAAAGTGGTAAGAACTTGATTAATGTTCTTACAAAACATTAAATAAAAAGAAAAAGTAATTTACTAAGCTCCATGTGTCTAAATAGCAAACTGATTTTCAAAGAATACTACCTTCATCTTGGCATTCATTCTCTCATTTATGATCCTTCATTTATTCATTAAAATTATTATGAAAGTATTTACTTAATCAACAAATATAATTCATTGATATCTACTGTATTCCTGGCACTTCGGGTAGATTAGCAATGAACGATATAAACAAGGTCTTGCAGGTTTCCTCAAGGAACTTCTACTTCATTGGCTTTCAGTACATACCTGACTTTTTACCATCACATCTGAAAGTGTGTAAGAGTCTACCACCTCATTTCCCAAATGTACCTTTATTTTGATGATTTCAGTTAAAATGATATTAAGGTCCTAGAATGCTGGGCTTGAGGTGTTTATACTTGTTGGTGTCGGAGACGGGATGGGAGACACGTAATGGAAAAGTTGATCTTGGAATTTGTATGAAGAATGAATTTGAGGGAGGAGGAACTAAAGGCAAGCAATTTGGCAGGAGGCTACTCCAGTGCTACAACTGTAAGATCAGGAGAACTTGAAGTAAAACTTGGCAGTAGGAATAGAAAAAAATACATGCAGGAAAAAATAATATGAGTCAGTAACTAATTGGATTGGAGTACGAAGGAAGGAATTTGTCTATAGTTTGCAAAGCAAATGATGCCACGATCATTAGAAAAAATCTGTATTGGAGGGGGATGGGTTCTATACCTAGGCTCTTAGCAATTAAATAAAGATGTGGAAGGTAGAGGTCAGGGCTGGATAGGTGGATTTGGAGATCATCTAATTAGACATCATAGTGAATGTCATCCAAGTGGGTAAGATCAGTCTATTCATTTCACAAATATTTATTTAACATTTCATATGTACCAGGCTTTTTACTAGGTTCTAGATTTATGGAGATGTACGTATTGCTGTAACAGAACTCTTAAGCTTAATAATCACCGATTCTCTATTCTGTGCCAAGCACCATTCTAGATGCTGGTAATGATTGATCAAAAGTCCAAAGTCCGTATACTTAAGGGAAGATAAATAGGAAACAACTTTTAAAAACTACAAGGATAGGGAAAGAAGGAAGTAGGGTGGTATAATGAGGGGGTAGCAGCCACTGTAGATAGAGTAGTTAGGGGATCTCTTTGAGGATGCTACATTTGACCTGAGAGACCTGATGTGTGAAAATTTTCCAGACTTTTAAAGATCCAGGTAGAGTGTTTCCAGCAGAGGAGACAAAGTATACAACCCCCTGAGGTAGGAGAGAACCTGATACGTTGTAAGAATAAAAATTGTGAGACAGAAGATCAGTGTAAAGTAGATGATGTAGGTAGATGCCAGATCTCTAGGGTCTTCGTAGACTAAGAATTGGGAGACTGTTGAAGGGCTTTTAATAGGGGAGTTGGCATCATTTGATTTACCTATGGTAAATGATCTGATAGAAGTAAGTACCATGCACTATAGAAGCTAATAGAAGAGTTACTAACACAAAGTGGGAAAAACTTTATAAACACAGAAAACAAAAATCTCATAATCAAATCTTAAGCCGTATCCCAAAGGTAGGAGGAGAAAGAAGGTTTGCCCAAAAAGAAATAAAAAATTTTGAGTGGGGGGGGGGGGACAAAAACAATAAAGTTTGAGTTGAGCCAGATCATACCTTAGAGAAGCATTATTAAAACTTATCCAGTGAATAATTGCAGGAATGGTGAGATGATGAAAATCCTGTTACATGTGGAACCATTGAAGAAAAATGGGATTTTTAAAAGTCTATTGAAGAAGAAATTTAACAAAGATTTGATAACTGTCTTTGAAGTTAAAGGGAGGAACATGTGGGAAAAAATTAGGGTAAGGATAGCAATGAGATTTCAGTTTGTATATGTTTATTCTAATCAATAGTGACTTTCCTAGAGCTCACTGTTAAGGTCTACTAGATGGGTCTTTCAACTCGGATATTTTCTCTTCCAGGGTAGAAGAACCAGCATTGTTACATGCTATAAATTAGCTGTTTAAATAGACCAATATAATTCAGTCAAGCCCACTAGGAGGGAATAAAAGTTGAGGTTGTTAGTATAAATAGATGCTGTTTCTATGTCTTATTATATTTGTATCTTTTTTTAAACCGTGTGAATACATATAAATCTTTATGGCCATAAAATGTTTCTTTCACTTTCATTTTTAATGTGGATAGATTTGCTATAATGAAGCCAGGCAAAATAGGTTCATTGTCCATCTGCTACTTACTAGCTTTTGATAGTAGACAAAGTACATAACCTTACTACTGGGCATTTGTTTCACCATCCCTAAAATGGGGATAAAATAGACAGTTGACCTTTGAACAACACAGGTTTGAACTGTGCAGGTCCACTTAATACATAGATATTTTATAGTAAATTACTATGAATGTATTTTCTCCTCCTTGTATGTTCTTAATAACATTGTTTTCTCTAGCCTACTTTACTGTAAGAATACAGTATATTATACATACATAAAATACATATTAGTTGACTGTTTATGTTATCAGTAAGGTTTTCAGTCAGCAGTAGCATATTAGTAAAGTTTGGGGGAACCAAAAGTTGTACTAAAATTTTTCACTGTGCAGGGGTTGGTGCCTTTACCGTTGTGTTGTTCAAGGGTCAACTGTAATCTTTACAGGACAGTTAGGAAGAAAAACTGAGGTAGTGTATATAAAATCCCTTGTGTTGCTTGTCTCATTTTAGCCACTCGATGGCATTAGTTTTTTCCTTAGCCATAGGCTTTGATGTGTGGGTGGCTATGAATTTAAGTATAATAGAAGAGCATGGTAGGTAATGGGGAATTAATTGGTGCAGTGTCTCTTTCATTTCAGAGCCTATTTAAAGTAATTATAGGATTTTTTATGAGTGATATCAAAATGAAACTCAAAGAGAATCATTGTTAGAAAACAGCTGGTTAGAAGATTTCTCTTGTCACCATGTTTTTGCATTACAGAGTTTAATATTTAAAATAGAATTTAAAAGTAATAAGTATATACATACTTACACAAATATAAAATAAAATAGAACTCAAAAGTTATCATCATGTTATAGTTAAGGAAACTGAGCACTAGAGTAGTTAAATATTAATAAATTTCAGAGCTGCTACTAGACCTTAGTGCCCTTCAAAATGGATGCTCTTTCCTCTATGGCAATTTGAATGAGATAGGTAACAGTCACACAGAGGAGAGGAGGAAATGACAGAAGATGATGAAAACCTGAAAGAAAGAAAATAATTAAAAATTACCCAGACTACAAGCTTAGAAAACTACAAAGACTGATAACTTTTGATTGGTTGTTTTTTATGTGAAGTTGTGATCTTCACCTAAAGTTGTTTTTGTTGTTGTTGTTGTTGTTTTTGGTTTGTTTTTTTTTGTTTTTTTTTTTTTTCATCAAACATTCTTCCCACTTGGGAGCAGCAGTACTCCCTTTGAAAGTTTGAAGACAATGCATGACTAAGAAAAGCTATTCATCCCTGAGGCTAACTAGAGCTTCTAGGCTCCTGATAGGCATGTTACTTTTCCCTAATTTGATTATAAACTTCTCTTTGGCAGAGACTACATTCGTTATCATGATAACTACTTGTGTTTTACTTTTTCATGTGCTTTTTACCCTTTTACTTTATCCCTCATATTTATAGAATATTTATTTGTGGAAAATGTTTATTGAAATATTTATAGAAAATGTTATTTTAAACTGTCTGACGTGTCCATGCCTAGCATTTTGCCTCAAATGTCAAGTTTCTTTTCTATGGGATTCTGGAACTAAGTTATACTATTTCTGTCCTTTTCAAGACACAAAGA